GGCCGGAGCAGGAGTCCAGATGAGGGGTTCCCCCGGGGGCCTGGGACCCGGAGCCTGGGAGGGGGCCGGAGCAGGAGTCCAGATGAGGGGTTCCCCCGGGGGCCTGGGACCTGGAGCCTGGGAGGGGGCCGGAGGAAGAGTCCAGATGAGGGGTTCCCCGGGGGCCTGGGACCCGGAGCCTGGGAGGGGGCCGGAGCAGGAGTCCTGATGGGGGTCCGTCCCCCCCACCCCGGGGCTCTGGGGACCTGGAGCCTTGAGAGAGGGCAGGAGCAGGTGTCAGGATGGGGGTTCCCCCCCACCGGTGGCCTGGGGACCTGGATCCTGGGGCGGGGCAGGAATAAGCATCGGAATAGGGGTCCCCTCCTCGGGGGCCTGGGGACCTGGAGTTTGGGAGGGGGCAAGAGCAGGCGTCCAAATGAGGGGTCCCCCCACCAGGGGCTTGGGGACCTGGAGCCTGGGTGGGGAGCAGGAGCAAGCATCAGGATAGGGATCCCCCACCACCAAGGGCCTGGGAACCTGTATCCTGCACGGAAGACAGGAGCAAGCATCCTGATGGGGGTGCCCCCGGGGGTCTGGGGACCTGGAGCCTAGAGGAGACCTGGAACCCGGTGTGTGTGGGGTGTCTTCCTGAGGCCCGAGAACCCTGCCTGGGCGGGGGCAGGAGCAGGCATTAAGATGAGATACACCCCCCCCCCCCCCCCCCCGGAGTGGCTGGTCCTACCCAGCTCTAGGAGCAAGTGCTCTTCGGAGAATGCCCTTGGGGAGGAGGCCAACTCCTGGGGTGAGGATTTTGTCCCTAATAAAGTGGAGAGCTTCCAGGGGGGAGAAGAAATCCCCACCAAAGGGGTTTCCCTCTGGGCTGACACTTGCCAGTTCACCTGCCTGGAGCGGAGGTCAGTTTGGCTGGGCACGGCCTGGAAGGACATCCCAGGCTGGGCACGAGGCATGTGCAATTGCAAATTTTTAGAGTCTTCTAGTCACTTTTTCTAGAAAGTGAGGGGTGGGGGTTGTGTGTGTTTAAAGAGGTATCAACAGCTACAGAATAGTAAGGCCAGCATGTAACAGGTTTGAAAATTGGGGAGATATTGGGACACTCAATTGAGTACATTTAGAACTTTTGGGTGTCCCATTTAGATATAAAATTTGAGTTTGGGAAATCGAGTTGAATGTTTTGAGGGCCCCTGCTTTTCCTCTAGCTACAAGGTAAGAACTGTTCACGTCAATACTTTTAGGATAGTCACTTGGTAATGGGTCTGAATTGTGTCTCTCATTCAGCATTTCCTTCAAGATTCACTTTCTAATATTGAGCCACCAAATTCCCAAATTTCATTTCTCACCTGTGTGTCCTCTCAGTTGAAAGGACTTGGAGAAAGAGTGATGCTATTCCGTTTCCACAGAGCCAGGCCAGGCGTGTTCTTGTACTTCAAGGAGACCGCTTAATCACAGATCCATGAGGATTTCTTGCAAATTTCCATCCCTTCCCGGTAGCAATAATGGCTTCAGGAAAGGCCAGATAGAAAGTCCATGGTGTAGCTAGTGACCAGGAAAGCCAGCCCTCTAGAAGAGTGTGGGAATGACACAGCATGCAGCGCAGTTCACCTCTTAAGCTTAGGGATTGTTGGGAGTCAGAATCAACTCCCCAGCACCTGATAATAATCACAACCTTTGTCCTGAAACTCCACCTTGTCCAGGACTCATACAAGTAATAGGGCCAAATTCTTATTCAACAAGAAGAGAGACCTGGGCTCTCCTTCCTCCCCCCTCCTTCTGGCTTCTTTGGCTTGCTTATTTAATCTCTTTTATGCTGCAAAAAAGAGTGATTAAAAACACATTCTACACTCATCGCGTCTCATTGACATACAAAGACAGCTCATTTCTAAAAGGGATTATAACCACAGGCAGAGAGGTTAGGATTTACAGTACATATTTTCAGGTGATAACAATTTAATCCTTAACAAACCATGATTTTTATTTCTTTATTTTTTTTTAAACTGAGCATAGTTTTGTGTGCTCTGTTGTTGATGCCTGATCCCCAGAGAAATAAAGCATGCACTCCAAGGGTCCCCCCTGTTTAGGGAAGTACTTCCCCAACCACATATCTGGAAGGATACCACACTCCCTGGTGGACCATTCCCTCTTATCTCTGAGACAAACTAACCCCTGGTTAGTGCTTTATGGTTTGGGAATGGCCCTACCGAGTCAGGAATAAAAACCTCAAAAGGTTTAGAAAAGAATTCACACTTCTTGAAAGTCTAATCTTCAGGTTAGGTTATTTTAAATTCACAGTGGCCTCAGAGAGGGGGAAAACAAAATTCATTCACAATACCTTCGCTCATCCGTGTGTTAACTAGAAGGCCTGAGAATTCATTTTGGCTCTTTGAGCCTCAATTTCTTCTTCCCTCAGGGGCAAGGATACCTGCAAAGTAAGGGCCTGGCAGAGTCGGGTAGGGATCAATGCAAACAATAATAAAGAGGGCTTATTAACTTTTACATGAAGTCTATTCTTACTAATCTCACCCACGTCCTCCTCCAAATGGTTTTTCGAACATCTAAAGATTGAATGATTGGGGTTTCAGAAACTCTCAAGAAGTTAAAACACCATGAGATTTTTATTTTATTTATTTATTTATTTATTTTTTTACTAAGAAGGGCCTAAGATAACTTCTAGTTCAAACTCCTCCTGTTATAAATGCAGAAAATGAGGCAAAGAAAACCAGTTTATCTTCTCCGAGATCATGCAGTGTCTTCATTATCTCAGAACTCAAATTCATTGCTAGTCTGTTGCAACCACCTCTGAGCTGACCCTCACGTTGGGTTTTCCAAGACAGGAAATCACCTACAAGAAGGTTCATCTTTCTCTCACAGGGATGCTGGTAGATTTGAAAGGCCAGAGACAGCCGGCCTTTGGGCTAGCACATCAGCACCCTGTGGACTGACTATACCATCAGGGCACCATCTTCCTATCTAATTCTGTTGTCTCAGAGACACCACAGTGGATGGCTTTAACAAGCAGAAGTTTGCTGTCTTCAGGGTTAGGAGGCCAGAAGTCCCATACAGGATGCCAGCTTTAGAAGACCATCCTCTCTGTGTCTCTGTAGGTGGCTTCTGGAGAGAGGCCACTTGTTACCTTGAGCTCTGTAGGCCCAGCATTCCTTGGAAATCTCCACGTGTCCTGGCCTCTTCCATGCATTTGGAAGGACACTCCATTCCTGGTGATCCTCATAGTGCTAATGTTCTCTCTCCTGGCTGGCTTTCCTCACTTTTTTTTATCGGTTTGCTTAAAAAGTTTTATATACATTGTGTTTCACACTATTCTTCATTCACATTATGTTTCGTACAATCGTTCTCTTGCATTATGGCTTTTATTTTATTTTATTTTGTGTTATTATATTTTGTCTGTGTAC